GCTTTTTTGTTTTAAAGACTGAAATATTATGTCAAGCATGTATTTTATTCTTGCATGCAGGGACTTTGCATTCTACTTTTTCAATTCCATAGGGAACAGCAAGAGACTGAGGCACAGTGGTTTTCAGCTTTTCTGTTTGCCAATATATCAGTTGTATCCATTTACTGATGAATCACAAAAACTATTTCCTATTGTCTCGATAAGGTTTTCTTGCCCTCTGCTCCATGTTGTACACAAGCTCTTCTCAATATAGTAAGTCAAATCTGACGTGATGTGTTCATTTTCTCTTTTCCATGTTTTGCCTTTTCATTTTTCAAAGCCAACTCAGTCTAGTGGCCCTTTAGGATTTAATTTTTACTTGGTAGGGGTGGTTTGGGGTGACAATTCCAGAATGAAAGACAGTAGAAAGATTCAGAACCAGGGGACAGCACCTAACTTGAACGATGACAAGTTATTTGGTCACAAGTTGAAAGAAATATATAGTAAAAGCTTTTTATTGGAAATACATCCTTTGAAATTTTCCCAAATTACAATGGCAAATTCATGTAATGAGGTTAAGATGTATTTTTAAATGGCATCGTGAGGGTACTTTTTAATGAATGTAGTGAAGGAGAAAATACAGGTCTCAGTTTGTATGTGCGGTGTGCTTCTGTGCTTGTGTTTACACTCAGAGGTGCTCACTGCTGGGGGATGTTTTGGTTTACATTTAGCAAGAAGACAGAATGATGATCCTGTAATTTTCAGTGTTTATATGTTCAATCTTTTCCTCTCCTTTCTAGTTCTCTCACTTATGTCCTAAGCTCCCCCTGCCCATCACTCATTTACCCTCTTGAAGGGGGGGGGGAAAGGCATGCTGTTATTAGTTCAGGTCCAAAATACTATGAGACTATTCTGAAAAAAAAAAATTAAAATATCAGGCAGAATTTACACAGAAGTTTAGGCTGTTTAACAGCAATAGTTTGTATTAAAGACATTTTTTGGTAGTTGATGGTATTAAGATGACAGCAGGTCTCTACTAGCAGAGTTCCGATAGCCAAAGCACAGCTGTATTTTTACCCTCATCGCCAGGTTTGGGTGCACCTGGGTATCTGCCACACCCCATTGGGATCAGTCAACAATGTATCATAAAGTGTATTTTTGAATTCATGATTTTCTTCTGAAAATTGAGCTAAAACGTGTTCCCTTTTTTTAAAAAAAAAAAATCATTTTGTAAGCTAGCATTCTTTAAATGTCTGCCAGAAGTTTAATTTGAATTTGTGATCCCTGAAGGCAGCTAGACAGAATTATTCTAGTTCTTCATAAACTGCCTTCTATGATTCATTGTTCACTCATAAAACATATTCATTTCTATATATACTCAAATAGTTAAGGCAGTTGCAGTATTGGGGTTATAATTTTTTTTTGTATTATATTTAAATTGTCATTTGAGAGAGAAATCAAGAATTAGCTTGAACTACCAGTTAAAGTATGAGCTCCCTAGCACACAAAACCTCAAAAATGAGTGTTTTTATCTAAAGTACTGTAAAGTGTATTACACAGTATCTAAAATAAAGTTTAGTTTTGACTGAATACACTCAAAAAGGGACTCATAAATATTAGAAAACTGTAGTTAAGAACTTACATGACTGTTTTAAATACTATTGATTTAAACCACTGGCTAGATTTTATGAATCAAAGTGTAATTTCCAAGCTTTGGCTATATTTCTCAATGCTGAAGCACTCTCTCTTGTGTGCCTTTAGCAGCTTTCCAGACATTCAACACAGGATTAAATGATAGTAGTTACAATGATCAATAGGTTAAGACCAGTACAATCACTCTTACCGCTAATGACCTCAGTAGTAATGGGTAATAAAGTGTGGGCTATAATAGCCTATTGCTGGTGCTGCATGCCCTTTGATTCCTAGTATTAGTAGGGACTAGCTACATGAAAAAGTTGGACATTGGGAGTTAAGGGAGTGGATATATAGGCCATAATTCTTAACTATTTAAAGTCTTAAACCGTGGATAGTTTTTTTTTTTTTTTCCAGTGGAGGGGGGAGGAATACAGTCATTTCTGGTCCATTTGAATATGTTTGTTAAAGGTTTCCATGAGTTATTTTCATGATATGTTGGAGCAGAAACTTTGGATAAATTTAGGTTTTATTGCATTTATAAATTAAAGCTAGAGCCCACATTTTAGAGGCACAGAGCTAACTGGCCTAAAAATGTGATTTCAGATAGTAAAGCTAGTTCAAACCCATCAGGATACTGTTGCCAACTTTGGATTATTCAAGGACTGATCTAGTTTGTAGGTGATTCGGTCTCCTTCCCTCTGCCTCCCCGCCCCCCCCCTTTCTTGTGCCTGCTTTTTAAACTCATCATGCTCCCCCAAAGTGCCCAAAGGAGAAGAGAAGAGGGATCTCAAAGTAGTCCACTTAGCTGTTCTGAAACATACCTGCATGCATGTGAGGGCCCACACAATATCATGTGCAAACGCACACGCAACACACACACATGCACACACATGCACAACAGGAAAGGAATTTTGAATTGCTGGCTGAAACTGAAAGGTTTTTTTAAAAAAATTATCCACAATTCCTTCAGTTCATGATTTTCCCATTTTCATAGATAAGAGACAGTGGGGAGAGGTGAATGGCATGTCTCACTGAAGCAGATACACATTCTAAGAGTAGTGAAACATTTGTAGCAAAACAATATAATTCTTTGTAGGAAGGTGTTTCTGAGTGAGGGTGTGCTATCATTTCTTTCATTTTTAGTGTTTGTCTACTCCGTTTAATTTTTACACCACCCTATTCCTGCCTGTTTTCCTGTTAATCACCATCAGAAATCTGGCTGGAGAATATTTATATTGTACATAGTCCAAGAAATGCACAGGAAAAAAAAAGATACTTAGGCTTGTGTCTTGTGCTACTTGCTTAATCAAACTTAAATATCATGATGAAACATTTCAAGTAAAAGTCTACTTTTGTTGGGATAATAACAGCAGCGCAGGATGAACATTTGCTCTTCAAAATATGTGTGCGTGAGAAATTTTAAAACTTTCTAAATTAAAACAGTTAAAGATTATTTTATAGAGTTCAGTTAAAAAGGAAACTTAATAGGCTCATGGGTATTTGTCATGATTGTTGTGATAATTTGCTATTGCAAGCATTGATATTGGGTGTTAAAGTTTCTCTAAAATAAATTCTCATTTGTGTATTCTATGTCTACAGCTTCATACCTACATATTGTGTGTGAGCACGTGAACTGCACAGTCATACATATCTCTGTTCCTTTCTTGGGAACATAAGACAGTGCTAAAAATTCATGTCTACTGTAAATTACACTGTATCTTAATCTACACTCAGAAGCCAACCAAATGCAAAGAATTCATTGATGACCTTCCAGTGTTCGGTGAATGAAATATCATAAGAATATAAACTATTTTTTTTCTTTTGAAGCTATTTTGTTTTAATTTAGCACCCACAGACATGCACACTCAAAACACATACATAACAACATTGGTGACTGTTCCCTGTACATGAATCTGACCTTCAGGAACCAATTTTAGTTCATCAAAATTAGTGATGCTGAGAAATCAGGACATCAGTGCATAATGACTGTGAAATTAGGGATGCGAGCTCGCTCTGCAAATGACAGGACAAATCATGTGAAAAAGTCAAGAGAAACTGCATATTAAGACATTATGTTACGTAAAATTAATGCTGTACTTCTTCCTATTGCTTATTGCTCTCCTGAAGGATTTTTAAAAATTCTTTTCTCTTCTGATCAGCTATTGTCTGCTGATTTTTTTTTTTTGGTGGTGCACTGGCAAAGTACAAAACATGTTATTACCTTTTATTATAATACAGGAGATGACAGCAGATCCTTTGGAACAAAGTAGATCTTTTACTGCTTTTAGTTTCTTGCTGTCACATGTTTGATTTGAAACTAAAGAAAAGTAAGATGCTTAAATATTACTGTTTAAAGTCATACAGATTTTGTCTTTACCTTCATTGTCTCTCTTTCTCTCGCTCTCTCACTTTCACTCTCACTTTTTTCCTTTTTTTTTTCCCGGAATTTCTCGTGAAATTGTCTTCTTGCATTACTGGGACTGACAAAATGGTTCTCATGTAGTCTGCAAATTAAACACAAGTGCAGTGATTATTTTGAATAGCTAAATTACATTCTAGAAAGCTTGCAGAATTCATAGCATTGTCATTAGGTATCCGCTTGAATACAATTTGTGTAACCTTGGCCAAGACAGCCTGTCATTTTAATGTCAGTGTTTTATCTGAACAAGACATCATCCTTTCAGATACAGTGTACAGGTTCCTTCCAAAGATGCCCGTGCAGAAACGTGTTAACAGTTGCAAATATGAAATGCTATCAGGTTCATCACTGTAACTATTTGTCACTGAAATGTCATGGAAAGCGGCTTTTAATGGTATCTTACATAAAATGAAAGAATTGAAGACATCTGTATGCTGGGCAAATATGGAGTGGTGGAAGCATCATAGTCAGGGTGTTGCTACTCACATGGGCACAGGGGTGAGGTTATTCACTTGCTTGAGTTGCTACATGTTTCTCTTAAAGTCGCTGTCTTCGTAAGCCATGGATCACAATTGGTCTCAAACACCTGACTCTTAAGAGTTTTCTACTTGCTGTGATCTGTAAAGGAAAACTCAAGTTTTGGTGAACTTTTTACAGATCATTTCATAAGAAGAAAGGGAATATTTCCCAGTAACAAATAGAGAGCTTTTTATCTTCACTCTGAGCAATGTTAGGGCTTTGCCCCTTCTGCTCCTTGCAAGGCCGTCTGCTGCAGCAGAGAACGATACCAGAGCTTTATCAGCCCTATAATAATAGCACAGTGGGATTTATAAGCAGGCCTCCCCTTGGAAAAGTTAATTTGGCAAGAAGAGTCGGCGAGTCTCTGGGCAGAATTAAGAGTGCTTAAAATCTGATTGGGAAGTCATGGCTTATGGTACTCAGGGTTTCTGCTCTATCGCTACTTTAGGTTCCCGTGTCAGTGGCTATGATGACACCTCAAGTTATCACTCCCCAGCAAATGCAGCAGATTCTCCAGCAACAAGTGCTCACCCCCCAGCAGCTCCAGGTCCTGCTTCAGCAACAGCAGGCACTCATGCTTCAACAGGTAACTATTCACTTGACAGCCACGCTAACCCTCGCCACGCAAGTTGCTGGTCCATCTCCTGGTCCCAACCACTAGTTGGCATGTGATGCCCACTCCCCTCGTGTGGTAAGAAGCTCTGGCTGCTCGAATTTCAGGAAAAGAGAGCAAAATCAATGGCAGTTTCCTTAACGATCACTTGAAGTTCCCTGTCTTGATAGATAATGGTGTTTCAGATGTCACCAATGTTTCATGCTAAGAAGTTCAGATTAAATTCAGAACTGGGACTTCTTAGGTGTTCGGGTTTTAAAGCTCTTACTATGGCACTCTAAAGGATGCTGGGGCTCGGTCGCTGGTCCTGTCACTTTCTACCTGGGTGACATGGGGCACTGGACTTGGAATCAGGAAGATTGGAACTTGACTTCTGCTTCAGCTGTTTCCTTAAGATGTTTGACCCTGGTCAAGTCGCTTAACCTCTTTCAGCCTCACTTTCTTCTTCTATAAAATGGGAATAATAATTAATAATGATAATAATAATAACAATACCAACACTTGTCTTACAGGGTTATTGTGAGAATCAAATGAGATTATTTGTAAGGCATTTTAATCAACCCTTAAATATTATATAAATGCTAACTATTATTATCATTATTATTATTATTATTATTACTACTACTTCACTTCCTTGGGCCACATTTATAAGACAGAAATGGGGTGGGAGGGAGGGGAACAGATGATGAACTAGGTCCTTTGGGGCTCTAAAGCTTTAAACCTATTGAAACTTATTCTAGGTGAGAGACTTCTAAATTGAATGTAAGGGGGAGAGAAACCCCAAGGCTATGGGCATATTGAACATTTCCAACATTTATCTTATCAACAGATTCAGATATCCAAACAGGAGAAGTATCTCTTCTGACACATGAGTGAGCCCTCATGGTTCTAGCACATTTGAAGGTGCTGTTTTACCTGTTTAGGAATACATTCACTTTTGCTGATGCTAAAATCTATTCCAGGTTGTCATTTGGCTACTCTACATACAACATTCTTTCCCAATGGGTGTTTGAACCGTGCAGGTCATACATCAACAGGACTGTGGTGATGGAGGTAGCAGAGTGGGGGGGGGGGGGGCGGCGGAAAGGCAGAGAAGCACCCACATTGTCTGTGCTTGTATTGACCAACACTGAATACAGGCAGACCCTCTCATTTAGAAAGCATGGATATGTTTCACAACAGAGATTTACCAGTCTCTCTCAACAAGGGCATCTCCGCTTTGTTGTTACAATCAAAGGTCATTCCTTGCCTTATTTTAATTAGTTTGTGTAGAAAATGGTATGTTTTTCATCAGTTCATTTTGGAGATTACTTTTCAGACGATAATGCCAAGAATCGTCAGTGTGCACTGAATTTATTGTTGAGTTTCAAACTAAAGGTCAGACCATTACAGATAAAAGGATGCTATTTTTCAAATCACAGTTTGTGTATTACACCGAAAGGGACACAGAATTGGCTCCTCCACTTGGTAACTTACCATCTTTTGCTTTTCTTTGCAGCAGCAGCTTCAAGAGTTTTACAAAAAACAACAGGAACAGTTACAGCTCCAACTTTTACAACAACAACATGCTGGAAAACAGCCTAAAGAGGTACAGACAATACATATTTTACTCTCAAACCACAGATCCCAGAGGACTGTCTAGTGGCTATTAAACTGTCATTCATCTTTTAAATGATTGCACAACTGAGCTGACTGTATCAGGGCTCAGCTTTCAGCCTCAGAGTTATTGTCCTGTTTTCTCTCTAATTTTTCTGTGTTCCATTCGCTTGCTGCCACATATTTTACTGCCCTGCTCCACATTTGCCTTGCTCTGTGAGTACGGGACAAGTGTTGTGAACAGGATCTTCAATGCTGCTTTTGGAAACTGGCTTAACTAAGGGTCCAGATTTCCTTAGAGATATTTAAGTCTTCTCCATCCAGTTGGATTGTTTAGGGATTTTATGGAGGAGGGGGAAGCGAAACTACATAAAGCCATTAATACAGTTTGGGATTAGGAAGCTAGACTTTTTCCATGTTGTACATTAAAGAAATAATTCCCCTTCAGAACCATTTTATTATGAGTTGACAGTCACAGAGTTCAGAAAGATGGTCAGGTACTCCATCCCTCTAACCATAATACTCTTGCTTTTTTTTTCCTTTTCTAATTTTATGGGCACATAACAAATAATAAATAGTCAAATTGTAAACCCAGTTTCCTTCTCAAAAGGAGTAAGTTTAGGTTAAAAATATTCAACCCTGTGCCCACTTTCATATTTTTTATTAACAAATAAATGGTGACTCCCTAAAGTATAGACCCAACTTTCTCAGCTTTGGTGCAGATCTGAGAATATTGATATGTTTCTCAGAGAGACAGATTACAGTCATCTTTGCAGCATTATTACTTATGTTACCTGCTCTTGAAGGTAGTTTTATCATAATAGATATTTCTTATTGATGTACAGTTCTTCTGGGGATGGTATGAGTTGGAATTTGATAACTGGTGTAAGTTCCTATTTAATGACTTCTTTGTGCCTCTGAACTATCTTGACCAATTGGGACATTGTTGACTAGCCAGCTTCTCATAATGAGAAAGTACTACTGTCCATCTTAGATGTCATGATCCCTCGTGTGAAAGTTGCTGAATTACACTAATTTTCCATATTGAGGATGATCTAACTCTTCTCTCTTCTCACTTAGTCCCTCTTCCCCACCAAATTTGGTAAATCTCCTGTGCAATGCCAAGTTTTCATTTGGGATTACATTTTTGCCACCTGATTATAAAGCCCTGAAGGCAAAGCTTGTTTTGGGGTGGGGGAATGTGATTGTGGTGGTGGTGGTGGTGGTGTTGGTGGTGGCGGCGGCGGCTTCAGGGAGTCTGAGGGGGGAGGGATGTGGGGAGGAAATGTTATAATGAAAATGCTGACACAACCTTAAGTATAGTGGGTAACGGGTGCTGCTATAATAAAAAGGGAACAGATTAAAAAGTGTCTAAAATGTAAATCTAAAGGACTAACAGTAATTAAAATGGAAATGGCACAGGGAGGGAAGGCATGTAATTGTGAGATATCACTGTGCAGAATGCTCTCAGCTTTGTTTTGCTGGCTGTTTTTCTAATTCAGTAGGGCTTACTCATCAGTGGCAGTTCAATGCGCGTTAATGACTCTGGGATGCAGGCATCACTCTGGACAAAGAAATGATTATTGTGCGGTCAAAAGAAGTTCAAAGACAAGAAGGGAATTTCAGTTTTTTCCTTAGAGATCCACATTCAAGAGCATATAAATTAAGCCAAATGTTAAAAACCACAGTCTGAAAGCTGACTTCAAAGTCACAACTCTCTAATTAATGAACTGCGAGCTTCAGTTTGGACAAGTCGTGGTTTGATGCGCCCATAAATCAACATGACAGGCCTGTTTCACAGTCTCAGACAGTGCTTGTCACTGAGTCACATCAGATGTAAACACAGCAGAAAAAAAGAGGGAATATGAAGGAGGTGCAATTGATCAACAGAATTGGTAAAAACTCACTTTTGAAGCACATTATGCATGATCACAGGAAATGGCTCCAGCCTCAAGAGGCTTTCTCCTTCTGCTGTTGCTTTTTTGAATCCGATTTCTAACAGCCTTCAAAAGGGAGAAGAAGAATTCCGGAGCTTCTCCCCTGTGGCTGGCAGGCAATAACCCCCTGTTGTTATTTTGTGCTTCTTGCTTTTCAAAGGCGTCAAAATTTAGTTTTTTAAAGATCTTTAACTCGATATTTGAAGACAAACAATAAAGGGCTGCCACTGTCATTCTTATCAGTTACCAGCGATTGGATTTTTTCTTTCTGTTGCCACTTCTTATTAACCTCTTATTTGGTCTATTAGACATAGTTGGGAATGCACGCCTGCATGCTGGGAGAACATGAAAGTTCAGATGGGCTCCGAGGGCAGATAAAGAAAGTTGAAGGGGAAAGTTACACTGCAGAATGAATGATAAAAGTTAACTCTACTAAATTGCTGTTGTCAGAAAGGAGACCATCCCCAGACAAAGATGAGGGCTCTGAGTTCTGGAAAAAAAATATGTTACACCATAATTTGGGTTGAAAGAAAAGGAAAAGTGAGACAATGTGATGGCATTTCAGTGTCTCCAAACATACTCGGGTTTACCATGCTCTTGCTTGGCCATACTGTTTGCATGAAAAGTTTAAAATAAAGAACAGTTTGAAGTTGGGTGTTTTCTCTGATTAGGTATGAGAGCACTAGGGGACATATCTCCTTGAATTGACTGTATGTTTACTGTACAGATGGATTTGAGAAAGGCCTGTTGCAATAGAGAATCCCATCCCACATGTCTTTCAGTTAGGATGAGCCTTATTTTCCTGAGTTCAGGGCATTCTCTTGGCATTATTATGCAGTTGGTGGTCCTTTTGTGCTCAAAATGACAATGGAGTCACATGGTTGCAGTTTCATGATGTGGACTAGTGGTTATGATTTTAACAAGGTTTGAACTTGATGTCGACAGATGGAACAAGTGTATTAATTTACTGAATCCCCTGGTCATTAGTGGCTCATAATTTCGTACCTTCAGCTCCCACCCCTTCCCATGTTTTTTTTTTTCTTTTACGTATTCCTACAGTAAGAGACTTGACTTTTAACAGAACAATATACCTCATTTTTTTCAAAAGTTGTAATGATGTATTTCCAGATCAGATCAAGAACACATTATGGCCCATCATGAGTTTAGGACCCAAGTCTTAACTCAACGGATACTCTAGGGAGGTTTTCGGGGGGGGGGGGGGGATAGGGAGAGAGGAAGAATCTATCCTATTGTAGCTGCTGGAGTAACTGCTCATTAATATTTGACAGAATTGATGTGGAAAATAGAATTAATTGTAAATCAAGAGAGAAGAAGAATCCTATTTTGTGTAGTTGAGCCTAGGCTGAGTTGATTGTTTGAAAAAGGCCGTTTGTCCTCGAGCAGTTATGACAGTTTATGTTAGGCAGTAGGGAGTAACCTAAGAAAAGAAAACAGACCTTTGACAGAAGCTTTAGGGAGGGGATCAAAAATGCAAGTTTTATCAGGATATTTCAGCATTTTAACACTGACTACTGACCTGACAACAGGACTGCACTGAGACCTTTTTTGTGTGCATTCAATTGTGAGAAGTAAACAAACTTGCTCGTATCCTGTGTTTGGTAACTGGGTGGGGAGCACAGTTTGGCAACGTGTGTTGCTTTTAAATTCTTTCTTGGACAATGGGCCTTGTATACTTTTATATCCTGGCTTTTCAGATGTACAGAGCTTTCATGAGTTTTTCCTAGGGATAACCGCGGAGACAACAGAGAGGCCATCAGTCATTTTAGATAAATAAATAATTTTTAGGCATTTAATTTAAAAAAGGGTGGGGACTCCCAAAAGATTATGTTCAATCTAGAGAAAATTGAATCCAATTTTTTTTTTCATGTTTTTGACTGGGGGAGGGGGGATGTAGGGGAATGTTGAGAATTAATATCTGTTGAAGAAGTGAAAAAATATTTTTGACATGAATATAACTATCATTGGGTTTTACATTAATATGATAACTTGGAAAAGAGTGAAAACAATTGGATCATTTTATGCATGCTGTTCCTAAAATGAAAACACTGGCTTTTCATTTAAATTTATTTAAATTTTTGTTGTCAGAGCTATAGATTTTGTTTTTTGGAGTGAAACTCAATTAACTTTCCCAGTGGCATGGTAGTAAGTCTGAAATTGGTTGCTAATATGAGAATGATGGCTTTTTACTGTAAAATAAACTACTTGGGGATTAAAAGGAAAACAACATTTTCTTCTTTCTTTGAACGTTCAGTCAGAAGGGTTTAAAACATATATTCTATTTTATGTATATGCCAGATAAGACCAGAAGTTAGGTCAAGTGGGATATAATTATTCTCCAAGGTATAATTATTAAGCAAGGTCATATAAGAACTGAAAGGGTTGATAGTCTCTTAAAGTCTTTCAGGAGCACATATAAAATATGATCTCTATGATATTTTAAAATAATAATAATTAGGAGAGTCAAATGTATCTCTTTCTTTACCTGTCTATTTTGGCTGCAGTTTGTGAAGGGTTAATTTTCTTTCCATAATTGTTAGCCATAACGTGGATAAGACCTCCACCTTAGTATGATTCCTAGCAGATTAGGGATATTAGATAATTTCCTTCTATTTATTGTACTCCTGCACTGTATTATCTTTCTATCACTCAGATAATTACTAAGGAAATCTACATTAATTTTTTTTTTTTTTGGCTAGCACAAGAAGCTCCTAAACACTGGCATGGTGTATTGATGTTTTACACAACAAAAGTTTTCCGTCATTAGTACAATAAGCAAAAAGATATTTATCATAATGTAAAGCCTTCCATGTGGTTTTTAGAGAACAAAGAAGGAAAAAAAAAACCAAACCCACAATGAGCAACAAACCTAGGGGCTTTCTTAACTAAACAGAAATTGGGGGGTATGAAGCTTGAGAGTACTGTACATATCATACTCACATTCAAGTAAGATGTTGTTTGCTAAATTATGAATGTGTGTAATTAAAATCTAGTGGCTGTTTCTATGAAAGATTTACAATGTTATTTCATCGTTTGTCATGGCTAATTAACAATATTAGATGAAGTTTTTCTTCTTCAAAGGTCTGATTTTTTCTCATTTATTTATGTCAGAAATGATAAACAGAGTAGTTAAAAGCTTCTGCTGGTGGAGGAGGGAGAAGAGCAGCGGGTTCCTTTACACCTCAAAAGGTTCAGGGTTCAAATCCCTCTGGAGGAGAGTTAACTCAGTCCTGTTTATAATAAGAACAATCAAAATGTTCAAAATCTTAAGAGTTGAAGTCTTACATAGAAGACCTATCTTTTCAAGAAGTTGGAAAAGGTAGCCCTGGTGGACGAATGAATGAATGATTGTCAAGTCAGAACTAGTATGTAGCACGGGTGATAAATTAGCCTAACCGGGCTCCTCTCCTGGGTGACCTAGTTTGTGGGCTTTCAGTAGAGCATGTGGCACCGAGTCCTGTGTTTTATGGTATTTGATGATGTTGAGGAGTCTGAAAACTTGATACTTCTGATTATCCTTGGGAAAGATCTACCTAATTCCACCCCACCCCCTATTTCTGCTTTCTTGCAGCCACAGCAACAGCAGGTGGCGGCTACCCAGCAGTTGGCCTTTCAACAACAGCTCTTACAGATGCAGCAGTTACAGCAGCAACACCTCCTGTCTTTGCAGCGTCAGGGCCTGCTGACCATTCAGCCCGGACAGCCTGGCCTTCCCCTCCAACCGATTGCTCAAGGTACGTGTTGAGTTATGAAGCAAGGGATCTAAGCAGCCTTCTGAATGAATATGAATTCATCACCAGGAATCTGGTCATCCCTCTAAGACATTCATATAGAAAGAAAGATGAACCCCTTCTGTGTGGTAAAGTGGGAGAGTGGGGGCATGGTAGAGGATACAGATGTAGAGCAACACTCAGGCTTGGAAAGTCAGCTCATTGTCTTAGAGTTTTACATTGATTCGCTGTGTATTTACCCAATAGAAAGGCACTTTTTCAATGGAACATTTTAGCCATTTCCTAAAGTTTGGCCAAACTAATTTTTACTTTTATAGTTTCAACATTAATTTTGAAATCATTCTTTATTTTACAATTTGCGCAATTCAATCATCTGCTTTATTTTATGAACAATATTTAGTATTCAAATCTTATACTAAGCCCCCCCAAAACACACACACACACACACACACACACACACACACGTTGTCTAAGAGGAGGGGAACAGAAGTGAGATGACTGGAGAAACTCTAATGGAAGCTTGTTTTTAGAATGATTTCAATCCCAAACCATGACTTTGAAGACCACACATTTCTTACAGTAGATACCACCCTTAGACCTAATTTTGTGAAATGTTAGGATTCAATAAAGGGCACCAAAGTTTTGTGGAATTTGGTGAATTACATTTGAGAACCCCTACTGATCTATGTTTGATTCTAAGTCTTTTGGACATGGAATTTGAATGGGAAATGTAGCAGTTTTTAGGGAGACATGTTGGCTTGAATTGTTCTAAATGGACAGATTATTCAAAGCTCGTTTTTGGAAGTGTCATTAATCAGCCTGTGTTTGTGAAAAGACTCTCTCCATCTGTCTCCTTTTGTGTGTTGTCTCCCCCACCATTAGCTTGTAAGCTCCTTGAAGGCAAGAACTATCTTTTTATTAATGCACCTCCAATGCTTCCCACATAGTAGGTACTTAATAAAGATTTGTAGGATTGAATTAGATCTCAGTCAAAGGAGATTTAAGTTTTCTCCTCACTGATTCCAGCCAGTTCACATTCCTGTTCATGTTTGTTTGTTTATATATTGTCTTACAGGTTGTTACGTTAAAGACATTTGTGAATAGTACCAAATTATCTTCTGAAGTGGGCTACCAGAAAATAGAAAAGTTTCAGTGTGCATGCTGCTTTGAGAATGGATTGATTGAGATAGATTAAGAAAGTTTCGTCTCCAGTGCACCCAGAGAGGGATCCTTGTATTGGATTGTCTTCTGGATGCCTTTGACCACACCCTTTTTCAATCTATCTCTTTTCCAACTTTGAAATCCTAGCCTTTTCTCCAGTTTTCCCCTTCTTCCTCAAACCTCTCACCCCTTATTTATGCTTTGATGACTCAAATGCTTGATATTTAATCAGTACCCCCTGCATTGTTGTCAAAATAGACTGGTACCTGAGCAATACAAAAGGAAATGAAAGGGCACATAGGCTAATGTGCCTTGGGCTGGCAAAATGTTAAAACGTGCTTTAATTACACCTTCAGGTTTATTGTTGGAAACATCACAGGCTGTTCTTACACACCCACTGGACTCAAGCTTCACCCTTTCTCATTTTTTCCCACAGCTCCTCCACTATTAAGTTTGCTCACTAAGGTTCATTGTTAGAGTACATCAGTTAAGCTGTCCAAAAGAGGGCAATTGGGCAGTGACAAGACACGCTCGTGTAATGTGAAAGAAATGAATGTGGTGATGCATGAAGTGTAATCTGTGCGGTAACACATCAGAGACACCAGTAGGTAATTCAGCAGTCATGGCATTGATTGATATGCTTAGCAGTCTGGGAGAACTATTAGCCCCTACAGCATGAGGAAAAAGCGTATTTAAAACCTAAGGGGTGCCTCTGAGTGTGCCCGAGATCACACAAACATAAACAGAGGTGCTTCAGAGGTCAAGCCCTTGCAGTGAAATGAACTGAGTGTGCTTGACGACCCTCGTGAAAGTAGGGGCTCTTTTTTCATTTGGACCCCACCCCCCTACCCCTTTCCATGAAGTGCCTTGAGAATTCAGGCCTGTTGGATGACAACATGATTTTTTTTTATCAGAGAGATGATGGCTTAAAACTGATGTCATTATGAGGTTTAAATCAACTTTCTGCTTGCTTGAACATGGTCACCTGGGTATGGATGTACAAGGACAAAAAAAGGTTGATCAACTCTGTTTGTCTTTGAGCCCGTGATACCTGGGGTTGTGAAATTGAGTTCCATGAACAGTAATCTGTCAACTGTCCCCACAACATACATTTTTTAAACCCGTGCCTGCATTTTCTTTTATAATGAAGGGGACCAGTTGTCCTGGAGAGAAAAAAAAAAGGAGGTAATAAGGAGCCAAGACCATGTATTAAAATCATTGGTGATAGATAGTTCATAACAAAAACCAAGATGTTTTTATTTTAGGATTACCAGTTTTCTGTGTACCCTAAATATGTTAAAATGGAGTTAAGGGGATCTCAAAAATGACAGAATGTGGGCTATATAATCTTTGAAGCCATTTTATAGTAAATGGCTCTAAGAAATGAATGATGGCACTCTCTATTGCAATATGGACAAGGTTTTCTTTTAAGGTTACATTTGCACCTCTCCTGGACCTGAAATAATTAGCATATCACTGTTGTTTTGCATTATAGTTACTCTGATTCCTGGAGGACAGTGCTTATTTTTTTTTTATGCTCACTGCAAATTCGGTAATGTTCTGACCTTCTAATTTTAAAAATGTGAATTGTAGATAGGCAAATCATACATTTTATTGTGTACCTGTTAATGGATTTCTTTAACTTGGTACTATTCTTCTCCTACATCATTTTGGAGGAAATGCTTAGTTTCTGGAAATTTGATATCCATTTAGCCTGCTGAGTGACTGGCTTTCCTTTCAACTGTCTTAGCACTATCAGGATATCTTGACTGTCAAATGAGCATCTTTTGATGTATTCATTGAACCAGCAGCTTAATGTTGTTTTCTAACCATAGCAGTCATGGAGATCCCTGATTTGACCACCCCAAGCATGTCTGATGTCACTCATCAAATTATGACATCAGTTTCTTCCTTTACAGAAGACGATATAATGAAATTAACTGTTACTTTTGAAATTTGGCCAGGAAAGAGTATTGACACTATTTCTTTTAATTAAACTTTTCTGAGTTCCTCAGTTGAAGGATACACACACACACACACACACACACACAGAGAGCTGAGCGATGTTGCAATAGGTCACTCAGGGGGAGATGGATCTTATGATCTTAGGTCTAGGGCCGATAGTGATACAATGTGTTTTAGTCTTCATTTGCTGGGTAAATATAGAGGGAGTGGCAGGAGACTTTTACAAGGCTTGCCTCAGCTCAGAAGGAAAAAGATACAGATAACAGTGAATAGGATTTTCCCCACATGAAATAAAATGACCCCAAATCAAATAGTTGATCATTTGAAAAATGGGCAACTTAATCTTTTTATATTTGTTTATTCCTAAACAATAAAAGAGGTGTTGACTGGTGTAGTTTCATATTAATACTGTATTATCAACAGAGGAGTCTATTCACTATTGTTTCAATTGAGTAAACAGTGGTGTAAGGGTCAGCGGTATTCACAGGTAATTGTTAGTGTGCAGACAGTCCTGTCAAGCATGTTCGCTAAAAATACATCCCTACATCCCGCACTGTCACTTTGCAAGGTGTTTGAAAATAATAGCCCAGATGCAGCAAAACAGGACATAGGATTGTGTAGTGACCTTTCTCTTTGTTTAATCTGCCTCAGAGGTTTAATTTCAGGGGACAAGTAATAATTGAATATGTCTAATAACTAAATGCTCATTTGGGACAAAATCCATCAAAATATAATTGGCATTTGATTTTTATGAAAGAAAGATGACTTAGCTTTAAAAGGGTAGATATGTTCTAGGAATATCTGATCACTTAATGTATAAATTGAAGCTTCCTTTTTAATATATATTAATTGCAAATACTTAAGCATTTTTGCATTTTTGTGGAGAATAGTTACCAGATACCAACTGTTTTTGTTAATGCCACTCTCAGAAAGGCGGGGAAGGTTATTGGTCTGCTGTGCAATAATTTACTCCTCTTTGATATGCAAACGATCCACGGTGAATATAAAAAAATCCTATCAGACTCATTTCACAGTTCTTAACCACTTAGATTCTCTGGAGTCTATCGCCTCATTAGACCCGTGCTCTCCAAAGCTAGCATAATTAAAATCTTTAACAGTTTAGCAAAGTAAAGATGTTTGGCTGATCACGTTGAGATGATTATCTATCTATTGTATTCTAAATGACAAAAATAAATTAAATTTAGACCTTGGCATTTTTTATTATGTGTTTCAAATGAATATAATGCATACAGCTTTCTCCTTTAATTCAATACCTTAAGTTGGTTAAGATACATGCCAGTTTCAACTGCTTTTATAGATTCAGAAAATGGCAGATTTCCTAGGATGGCTGTGTTACAATTGATTGAAACAATGAACAGTGATCCAAAACACCTGGAAATGGAGTTCTGCCACAGGCCTACCTGGAAGCATGCAGGAGTTCCATCTTTAGGCATCCTTTCAAGGGGCATTGTCATTCTCCCGTTGCCCTTGTAAATATTTTTCTCCTGTAGGCTTCCTAATGTGAAGTGTGTCTTGTTTATGTGGGATTTGGGAATTTGGTTCAGTAGAGAAGTGTCATCTGATTAAAGGTTAGGTCACCCAAAATGGTGAGCATGACATATGGATAATGTCTCTACTTCTCGATGGGAAATTCCAGTTTACACTTGACATGTGTGTCTTAAAACCTCTGTCCACTCTGACCCCTTTAGAAAACAACAATTTTTTTTTTTATTACCCAGAGCTTATTTAATGTTTTCATTTTACTCTTGAATGGCTCATTAGCATTGATGTAAGAAATGACAGTAATAATAGTGTTACTTGTATAAAAAGTTATACAGTTTTTCAGTAGACACATCCATCAATTAAGTGAGCAGTCCTAGAAACCAAAATTAATGAGGAAGCTAGGTGTGTTAATGAAATAATCATAGTATAATCAATTTGACTGTTAAAATTTGAAAAGCATTTCAGGAAGACAATATGAATTCATAATTTATGTCTAAAAGTGATTAATAAAAACTATATTTAATAACAAAGCTATTTGTCATCATTTAAGGCTCAAGCACAAAAAATTAGTCATGTTGTGGTTCATATTGTCATAATACCATAGTCGAATAATTTTATTTGGAGACCTTCCTTATGTCTTAAAATAAGATACCAATTATTCACTTTAGCAAAGTTCGTGAAACAAAATTTTCGATGGAGTTTCGTGGGGTCCTAGATTTAAAACTAGAAGGAACCTTAGAAGGCCAAACAGCACAAGAAAATCTTAGCCACACTGATTGGAAAAGTACTAAGCTTGAAGTAGTGAATTTCCAGCCCCAATTCTGCTCTGATGAGTGATCTCATTCACACAAGTCCTTCATTTGGCTGGGCTTCAATTTTCTCATCTGGTCAGTGAGTGGGGTTGTCCCAGACTTCTACAGCCCCTTCTCTCTCCCAATGTGCTATAAGGACCCAGTTTTAAAGTGCCTTACTAGCTATAGTTCAACAAGAATCCCATGTTAGAGGCTGAGTGGTTTTAACAGTAAAGTATGAAGCCTTTAACACACACACACACACACACACACACACACACTCTCAAAAAAAAAAACTAACACTGGGCTTTGTTTACTGACTCTTTGATTTAATTACTGTTTGAAGAGGACGGAATTAGCTGTTAATTGATTTAATTATCCAATTTGTTTGTTTCAGGCATGATTCCAGCCGAACTGCAGCAGCTCTGGAAAGAAGTGACAAGCTCACATCCAGCGGAAGAAACCCCAAGCAACAACCATAGCAGCTTGGATCTGTCTTCCACATGTGTCACTACGTCCTCTGCACCTTCCAAGACCTCCTTAATAATGAACCCCCACGCCTCCACAAATGGACAGCTAGCACCGGTCCATACCCCTAAAAGAGAAAGGTAGGAGCCAAGGCTTGGCTGGAACATATGTTGGTCATATATGCAGGGAGCAGCCCTTAGAAGGTTGGGGGGTGGGGGGTGGTTCCAAATACCTCTTTATATCTCACTGATCTCTAATTGGATTCATGTGACTCGAATGTCCCTGTAATGACTTCAGAATTTATTCAGTATAGACTGTGGTGTGAAGCATCTAATTATTTTCATTTTTTCAACATGGAATTAGTGCTAATGTAGACATGCCCCAGAGCTTATGCCAAGGGGCCACAATATGCTTGTTTCCTCTTTACCTTGGTTTTGTTCAGACCCCCCTCTTCCTACCAGTGGCTTCAGCAGGAGACTTTATGGTTCTTTCCTCTGCTTTCTTGTGAAGGCAATAGGTGAATGTATTCAGCCTGGGCTGCAGATGTGGTACACAGTCCAGTTGAAGATTAGGGCCTAATGTTGTCATCTCTCATGATTTGATACCTTAGGTATCAAGTTGGTGCAGTGAAGCTATCGGTCCAAAGTTCCAAAGAAGCTAAAAAAAAATAGATAACAATTTTATGGATTTTTGTTTCTGTTCATTATATAGAAACGTATTGTATCATTCAAAATACTATTAAATATCATTCAACATTTTAAAATCGATTGAAATGTTTCATAGATACCGTTTTTTTTTTTGGTTGAAATTTTACACTTAAAAACACTAGGCCTTCAATTCACCAGACATTGGTTTAAGACCCTGCCATATATAAGGCACTCTATACTAGACAAAGGAGAGAAAGAGAAAGGGAGAAAGACATTACAATCCCTGTTTTAAAATCCATGTTTCCAATTAAGTAAGAGAATAAAAAATTGGGAGGAAAAATCAACCAAATCAGGTGAACATTCCAAGATTGTTTGAAATTCAAGACACCTGATTACCCCTCCCCCAAATTATTAATTAAATTTGACAAGGGTCCAGCAAATGAAAGGTGTGCACATTTATATCCAGTAACACTCATTCAGCAGGAATTTACTAACCACCTGCTGTATGCCAGTCACTTTTTAAAATCATGCTGTTGAAATGCATAATATACCCATAATCAATCAATGAAAATAAGCACCCAATACTATGTGCTTTTTACATAGAAATGATTTTCTCCTCAGATCTTTATGCTTGCATATGCTTTATACCAGTTTCATAATAAAGACTTTTTCAATGTGGTTTCTGAATGGGATGTAAACTCCTTGAAGGCAGGGATTCCCCCTCCCCCATTTTTGTTTTTGTATCCCTAGCACTTAGCTTAGTGACTGGCACATAATTAGGAATTTAGTAAATGCTTTTTGAATTTAAATGTTTGCTAAATGGGACAGTGTCATCTTTTTGTTGTTGTTGCTTCTTATATAAGCATGTTAATGGTCTTTTAAAATTTTATTAATTATTCTTTTTAAAGTTTCATTGTTTTTTCAAGTAACAAAATTTATTGAAACTCACAGGTCTTTTTTAATCACTTTATTCAAACCATTCTTATGAGTATAGAGTCTAATGACAAAAAGCATTATGTGTATTGCATTAAGTAATTCATCTTATAAGTCAGTACCCTTAGTGACAAGTTTGTGATATGTGGTATAAATGTGATATATGATGTGTTTTCTTCAGAAAACTAAGACACACTTTTATTAGATGATTTTAAAATTGATGCAGCAATATTAGAAGAAGCAAGTGATTTAAATAGTTGCTAAGCTTATTAGCTTGAAAATGGTCTAGAGTATAAAATCAAGTGTCAAGTGGGGACCATTGGGTGAATTCAAGCTTCTGTTGCTGTCAAGGGAAGGTGACATATTTTTTTTACGTCCAGAAGTCAAGCTTAGCTCTTCCTTCCTGTATCTGTTTATGTTTATGCCTTTTGTTGTAATATTTTCGGAAAGGACAACTTCAGATAGCATAAAATAAAAGGTTCTAGACTTAGCCTTGCCTTTCTTTTCTTTGATGTACTCAGGCTTATACTATCCATTTAGTAGAGAGTGATTGAATTACCTCTTTCTCCATAAGTAGAGCAGGAGACTATACTGCAAAGAATGCCCACTGATGCACTTAAGGTTTTTGTTGCAGGCCAGTCGGCCCTTGTGGTGCCTGCCTACATTTCGTACGACACACAAGCCTCTTCTTGTTTAGATGCATTGCATTTGGTTTCATGCTAAAAGGATATATATCTGTAGTTGGTATAGGAGAGTGGTAGATTAGCAGTGAAGAAAATGGGAAAAGAATAGCCCCTTTTTATGTCTCAAGGTGCATTTAAGAGTAAATGGATACAAGGCAGAGGCAGAGTAATTCCAGCAGCTGAGAGTTGGTGTGATTCTGTAATGTTCATTTGGACCCTCAGAAGTTAAGCTGAATATGTCAATATTCTGAAGACACCTTGTGGGGAGAGGGGATATTTTAATGGAAAGTGTTCATTTTGGCAGCACAGTTTTACAGTGAATGAAATTTGGTAAGAAAAGGAAAGGGAAACTCAAAGGAGAGAGAGGAAGCATTTTTTAAATTATCAAATACTGGGCAAGATTCATGAGCTTAATGTAACTGTCAGATCACCACCAATCAGTCTGTTTCCATCTACCCTTTTTTCCCACCACTCCATTCATTCCTGAGACTATCTGTTAATTATCAGAGCAAAGCAGAGCAGAGTAAATAGTGAATTAGACCAGACAGCAGGAAGACTAGAGTTCAAATCCTGCTTCTGACCCTCAAGGGGTGACCTTGGGGAAGTTACTTCATGTCTTTGAATCTCAGCTTCACTATCTAGTAAATGAAGATGAGAATCACATTTTGGGGGAATATTATTGATAATTGACTAGTTATCCAACGCCTGTGTCCACGGTGGCATCCAAAGAAAGCAACAAAGTCTTGTCACTCGGCAGAGGGTTTTCAAACTGATGTCCATGGTGATGAAGTTCTGTCCTTTTCATTCAGGCCTGAGGAGCGGTAGCTCATTCTTTCCTCAGCCATTACTTCGCTTCCTTCAAGTTGTCTCTGGCCCTGCCTTTGAAGGTTCCTTCCCTGCTCCCTGATTTGTTTGCATGTCTTATGTAGCAGCTACTTCATCATTTAGAAATCTCATTGAGTTTTGATTTAACCTACTTCTTGAAAGCAGTTTGCATGAGTTCTTTCTTGCCATGTTCCTAACACAATAGACTAGTCAGTAGAAGTAGGACAAGGCAGTGTTGGGGGGGTAGCTGATGGAGTGGGACACTTGCCTCATTTAAGAAGCACCAGCTAATAATCCACAGGTGCCCAACATTTGCATTTAATTTTCAAAATTCCCTTTCCCAAGACTTTTTATTTTTTTTGTCCCGTGCTTTCCTGAGCTTTTTGTAAGCAGTGGTGGTGGTAGCAGAGGCAGCAGCAGCAGCAGCAGCAGCAGCAGCAGCTCTGGGGTTTGGTGCACAGCAATCTGTTAAGGAGATAAATAATCTGCTTTGGCGTGACACTCCTACTCTCCTCTTTAATTTGTCTTACACAAGGAAAATTATAATTAAATCATTCAGGGTAAACCCTTGAGTGTAGAGAAGGAAGAAAAAAAAAACACACACTTTGGTAAAGATTGCCAATAGAGACCAACTTCCCTGTTGTGCCTTGCAGAGACATTGATCAATATTCAGCACTTTTAAAGGAGGAACATTTCATATGATTTGTGAGGCAGATGCCAAGGCTCAAATCAAGGCTTGTTAAGATCCTCTCCTCATGTAATCACGAGCATTCAGCATCATTAGAATTCAGCACTAACGCTCCGTTTCATGCTCTGATTTTACTCAGACAATTCAGTAATGTTTATTGTGCTGATTAGGCATAAATTCATTCAGTGCAATAAATGTACTTCAGTTGTCAGTATCTGAAAAAGAGTTTTCATATTCAGAAAACAGAATCCAAAAGGGCCATTGCCAGCTTTTCTTTCTCTTGCCAGTGTTTTATTCTGAAATATAGGTGGTTCTTGCTCTGGCTGACATATTTACCATGATGCTTTTAGACAGAAAACGTCATCTTTAAAATTTGCTGGGTTATCAGATTTTGGAAATTCCAAATTCAGGAATTTACGTAAATAAAGTCAACACACTGCAAAGGGAATGTCATTAAAATGCTAAGTCTAGCCTGGTCCTTTTGATTTTCTTCTATCAAAGTTGGTATGTAATTGCAAATAGCTATCCCTTCCGGAAAACTTGAAGCGTGACATCATATTACACAACAACACATTGCCCTTAAGTTTACAGAACGGCATTTAAAGTTTCATTTGGAAACTAGCTCATGATAAATCAAACCAGGCACTCCACTTGTCTTTATATGGAAAGTACAAAGGTTCTTTCCATTAAAATTAAAAATAAAACTTAGATAACTTATTATGTAGCTATTCATTAGGTCCTTCAAAAATGGAAATAATTCCCAGAATCTAAATCGCTTAAATTTTAAAACCAGCATGTAGTGTACACACACAGACACACACACACACACACACACACACACACACACACACACAGTGAAATAAATGAATTGGAGGGGAAAAAAAAGGTACCTATAAAAATAAGACTGTCTCCTTTAATTGGACTCCTGTCTTGCTTAGTAACCTTCCATTTCTTCATTTAAGACATTAAATGGTCTTTCTTTTAGGTGATTCCTGTGCAACTCTTTATGACTAGTAGTTTTTCTAGTTTTCTAGTTATTCCCACCCTTTGGCCTTCATTCTTTCACCATTTTACCAGCCATTTTATAATTGTGAAATGTCTTTTAAGCTGCAATGCCAGTGATTGTTCTGTGTGGCACCTTCTTTCCCAGGGCAGTATTGCCTTCTCAGGAATGGGTGACCCAAAGGAAGCACTTTCCTAGATGAGATCTCACTTACCTTCTGCCCAGTAACAGTATGACTCCTTTGCTTTCCCTCTGTGTATATCCCACTGTACTGTAGGCCTGCCTTCCTGCAGTTTTCCACTTGACTGCTGACTTCAAGGATTCCTCGACAATCACCTCTCAATCCCTTTGCTTGGTCAGC